TCCAAACCCCTCATGAGGGAGGTCTTGTCTCAGCTGCATCAAGGAGCCCACTGGGGACCCCAAGCTATGTGTGATGCAGTTCTCAGAGTTTATGGGTGTATAGGAGTTTATACCCTAGCCAAACAAGTTACAGATAGTTGCTTAATATGTAAGAATACTAATAAGCAAACGCTAAAAAAAAATCACCCCTTGGGGGAAGACGTCCAGGACTAAGACCATTCCATAGTATCCACACTGATTATACAGAAATGCCTCAATTGGTTGCCTAAAATACCTATTAGTAATAGTAGATCACCTCACTCGCTGGGTAGAAGCTATTCCCTTTTCAAACACAACTGCTAATAATCTAGTTAAGGCATTAATTGAAAATATTGTACCCAGGTTTGAAATAATAAAAAACATTGATTCAGATAATGGAATTCACTTTACTGCAAATATTGTTAAAGGGCTTACTCAAACTCTAGGAATAAATTGTGAATAACATATTCCATGGCATCCACCTTCATCAAGGAAGGTAGAAAAAAATGAACCAAACTTTAAAGAATCATTTAAATTGATTTTGAAAACTTGATTGCCTTGGACCACCTGTCTCCCCATTGCCTTGCTCGGAATTCGAACTGCCCCTCAAAAAGACATTATATATTTGGTTTATGTTCTACTTTGTCTTCTCTTAGGACCCAGGGTCTCTTAGCACAAACACCACCTCTTGAGCTCCCAGTGCATCCATGTCGATCTGGAGATTATGTCCTCATCAAAAGCCGGAAAGAAGAAAAACTCGAACCAACCTGGGAGGGACCTTATCTAGTGCTCCTAGCCACTGAGACAGCAGTCTGGACCTAAGTTAGGGTAGACCCACCACACTCAGGTGAAAAAGGCATCACCCCCTTTGGAGTCATGGGTCATCACTCCCGGGCCAACACCTTCCAAACTAATATTCAGAAAAGCTTAACCTGTCTAACTTGCTTCCTCTTTCTTCCGTTAGCTACCCAGGAACATTTTATTATCAAAGTAACCCGATCATCATTTCCTCAAACAATTACATTTGATGCTTGTCTTGTTATGCCCTGTGGGAACCTACAAACCCAAAGGTAACTAGCCTCTTTAGGGAAGTCCCTTTGCCCTGGTCCTCTAGAACACACAGAACCCACCCCTAACTCTCACCGTTGTGACCATCTAGCATGGTACTTGAAATCTTGTAGCTCTTGGGAACATTTTTATTGGACCACTCAGTACCAAGGCTGGACTTTCACGGAAGGTCCCTGTGCCGCCCTAAAGCCTTATCTCCACATCGCTAAATGAACCACCCCCTCTAATCGTCAATCCTACCAATGTAACCCAGTCCTAATCTCCACTACTGCTTCTACTTCCATTGACCCTAAGCCCACCTTAGGCTGTCTCTACGGTTTAGGAGCAAATGTTGCTGGAAGGGACCCTATAGCCTCCTTGAAATACATTTTGTCCACCATTCTCCACCTCCTCCCACTTCACCTTCCCTAAATCCACCAAATCAAATAGTGGGTGCCACTCCTCACCCCCTTCCCAATGACAAAACTAAAGTAGCTATTTTAAAAGTAAAAGATTTAGAACAGACTTTAGCAATTGAGACTCGATACCAAGAAGCAAATGCCTGCATGGAATGAACTGAATATTCTGTTAACACTCTAAACAAAAGCAGTTGTTACACTTGTGCACATGGTAGGCCAGAGGCCCAGGTTGTCCCCTTTCTACTCGCATGGCCTTCAAATCAACCGGGCATGGACTGTATGGTAGCTCTCTTCTAGCACCCCACAGCCTGGGGTAATAAGTCATGCCAAGCTCTTTCTCTGTTATTCCCCGAAGTCCAGCACCCTGTAGGTCAGTCCCTGAGGGCCACCCAGCTTCCATCTTCTGATGCCAATTTTACTTTGTGTCTCTCATGACAGGGAGAAAATTGAGCCTTCCTTGTAGACCTAAAGGGATGCAGTGAGCTTAAGCCTTTCCAAGAGCTTACCAATCAGTCTGCCCTTACTCATCCTTGAGTGGATGTATGGTGGTACTGTGGTGGACCCTTACTGGACACTGCCAAACAACTGGAGCAGTACTTGCACTCTAATTCAATTGGCCATCCCTTTCACCCTGGCATTCCATCAACCAGAAAAAGGAAAAACAACACCATAAAACAAGAAAGGCCCCTCATGGATCTTTTGATTCTCATGTTTATACAGATACCATTGGAGTCCCACAAGGGGTACCAGATAAATTAAAACATGAAACTAAACAGCTGCAAGGTTTGAATCCTTGTTCTGGTGGGTAACTGTTAATAAAAACGTGGATTTGATAAATTATATCTACTATAACCAACAACAATTTGTCAGTTATACTAAGGATGCCATTAAAGGAATTAGCTAAGCAATTAGGGCCTACTAGCCAAATGGCCTGTGAAAATAGGATGGCACTAGATATGATACTAGCAGAAAAAGATGGAGTCTGTATCATGATAGGAACCCAATGTTGTACCTTCATCCCTAACAATACAGCCCCTGATAGAACAATCACTAAACCTCTACAAGGTCTCACCTCCTTATCGAATGAGTTAAACCAGGAATTCTGGGGTAAATGACCCTTTACAGGATGATTAGAAAGGTGGTTTGGTAAATGGAAAGGACTCACGGCTTCTATTTTTACTTCCCTCGCAATTATAGTTAGGGTACTCATTCCCACTGGCTGCTCTATCATACCTTCTATTCATGGATTAGTTCAATAAAACAATAACTTATAAAAACAGCCCCTACTGGCTGGGCACGGTGGCTCAAGCCTGTAATCCCAGCACTTTGGGAGGCCGAGGCGGGTGGATCACAAGGTCAGGAGTTTGAGAACTGCCTGGCCAAGATGTTGAAACCCTGTCTCTACTGAAAATACAAAAATTAGCAGGGCATGGTGGTGCGTGCCTGTAATCCCAGCTACTGGGGAGGCTGAGGCAGGAGAATGGCTTGAACCCAAGAGGTGGAGGTTGCAGTAAACTGAGATCATGCCACTGCACTACAGCCTGGGAGATAGAGCAAGGCTCCATCTCAAAAAACAAAACAGACCCTACTAAAACTTCATTTCTTTTCCACCCTATTCTGACAAGCTTTTACTTCTAGACAATCAAAAAGAACAGCAAAGTCAAGACATGTTAAATAAGTTTGAAGAAGAAAATGTATAAATTCTCAGAGGGGGAAAATTATTAGGAACAGTTTCTCTTCAAAGGGTTTCACCCTCCTTGTCCTTCATTCTATTTTGTAAGTAATCTTTCCTGCCTTTAACACGCCCAGGCATGCCTCCATTTACCATGGTTGTAGCTGACCCACACCACCTTACTTGAAGTTGTTAGGGACAAACAATAAACTTCCTGGTTCTTTGTCCTATTCTAAATGCTAAATCTAGTCAATTGGGATCAGTTTGGATTGTACAATCCGACCCCAATTAATGGCGGGAGGACACAGAAACAGGAATGGCATTAGGAATAAAAACCCCTGCTTTCCTTTGTTCAGTGTGCTCTTGCGATCATCACTGATGCAGACAGCACCTTTCTGTGGAAGTAAATTTACCTTGCTGAGAAATCTTTTGTTTGAGTGCTCATTTTCTTTGCGACTCCGAGCTCTTGTTTTTAACATAGGCAATAACATTCAGGACATAGGCATGGGCAGAGATTTCATGACTAAAACACCCAACGCAACAGCAACAAAAGCCAAACTTGACAAATGGGATCTAATTAAACTAAAGAGATTCTGCACAGCAAAGGAAACTATCATCAGAGTGAACAGGCAACCTACAGAACGGGAGAAAATTTCTGCAATCTATCCATCTGACAAAGAGCTAATATCCACAATCTATAAAGAACTTAAATTTACAAGAAAAAAACAACCCCATCAAAAAGTGGGTGAAGGATATGAACAGACACTTCTCAAAAGAAGACATTCATGTAGCCAACAAACATATGAAAAATAGCTCATCACTGGTCATTACAGAAATGCAAATCAAAACCACAGTAAGATACTATCTCATGCCAGTTAGAATGGCGATCATTAAAAAGTCGGGAAACATATGCTGGACAGGATGTGGAGAAATAGGAATGCTTTTTATACTGTTGGTGAAAGTGTAAATTAGTTCAACCATTGTGGAAGACAGTGTGGTGATTCCTTAAGGATTTACAGAACCAGAACTACCATATGATCCAGCAATCCCATTACTGGGTATATACCCAAAGTATTATAAATCATTCTAATATAAAGACACATGCACATGTACATTTATTGCAGCAGTATTTACAATAGCAAAGACTAGGAATCAACCCAAATGCCCATCAATGATAGACTGGATAAAGACAAAGTGGCATGTATATAATTTGGACTACTATGCAGTCAAAAAAAAAAAGGAATTCATGTACTTTGCAGTGACATGAAGCTGAAAACCATCATTCTCAGCAAACTAACACAAGAACAGAAAACTAAACACATGTTCTCACTCATAAGTAGGAGATGAACAATGAGAACATGTGGAAACAGGGAGGGGAACATCACACACCAGGGGCTGTTGGGCGGTGGGGGGCTAGGGGAGGGATAGCATTAGGAGAAATACCTAATGTAGATGACAGGTGCAACAAACCACCATGGCATGTGTATACCTATGTAATGCAACTGCACATTTTGCACATGTACCCCAGAACTTAAACTATAATTAAAAATAAGTAATTTCAACTTCGCTGTACATATTTGACACTTTTCATGATAAAATGGGGGTGGGGGAAGACAATCTTGGCAATCACCAATCCTCTTTCTGCTCCCTTTACTACAGAAATACAAGTGGCATTTACTACCTAAGGGTGTCTTCTCCAGAGACAGATTCATGGGAACACTCTAAGTAAAAACTTACTTACCTTTACACCTTCTGTCCTAGCTTGGAAATATATTCATTTCTTATAATCAAACCGCTTATATGAGTCAACTAAATTACTAAAATTCCTGTGTGTTTATACAAACCTTACAGGCTCCATTACTGGTTAACATGTTTGGTTTCAAACAATTCCTTTGAAATAATAATACTGTTTTAATACGTCTTTGAAGTTTTGCTATTTTTGCCTAGAAGAAAAAAAGAAAAGAAATAAATACTAAGCCAGAGTGCTATATATCATATAGAGATGGAGGGTCAATTATTTGCCAAAGTAGTTGTGTAAGACTTACGCATCTATCCAAATGAGAAATTCTAATATATGCAAAAGCTTGAAATAACATTTTATGCTATATATATATATATATATATATATATATTTTTTTTTTTTGAGACAGAGTTTTGCTCTTGTTGCTCAGGCTGGAATGCAATGGTGTGATCTCGACTCACTGCAACTTCCGCCTCCCAGGTTCAAGCCATTCTCCTGCCTCAGCCTCCCAAGTAGCTGGGATTACAGGCATGTGCCATCACACCTGGCTAATTTTGTATTTTTAGTAGAGACAGGGTTTCTCCATGTTGGTCAGGCTGGTTTTGAACTCCCGACCTCAGGTGATCCACCTACCTCTGCCTCCAACGGTGCTGGGATTACAGGCATGAGCCGCCATGCCCAGCCTATGCTTCTATAATATTAAAGTTAAAGAAGACAAAAATCTCAAACTTCGGCCAGGCGCAATGGCTCACGCCTGTAATCCCAGCACTTTCGGAGGCCAAGGTGGGCGGATCACTTGAGGTCAGGAGTTTGAAACCAGCCCAACCAACATGGAGAAACCCCATCTCTACTAAAAATACAAAAAATTAGCTGGATGTAGTGGCAGGGGCCTGTAATCCCAGCTACTCGGGAGGCTGAGGCAGGACACCCGCTTGAACCTGGGAGGTGGAGGTTGCAGTGAGCCAAGATCACGCCACTGCACTCCAGCCCTGGCGACAGAGTGAGACTCTGTTTTTTTTTTTTTTTTTTTTTTAAAAAAAAAAGGCCAAGGGCAGTAGCTCACGTCTGGAATCCCAGCACTCTGGGAGGCCAAGGCAGGTAGATCATGAGGTCAGGAGATTGAGACCATCATGGCTAACACAGTGAAACCCGTCTCTACTAAAAATACAAAAAAATTAGCCAGGTGTGGTGGCGGGCGCCTGTAGTCCCAGCTACTGGGACTTGCAGTCCAGAGCTTGCAGTGAGCTGAGATCGCACCACTGCACTCCAGCCTGGGAGACTGAGCAAGACTCCATCTCAAACAAACAAACAAAACAAAACTTCTAACTGGTCTACAATAAAATTAATGTGGGTAAAAACATCAGTCAGCAAGTAATCCTAGAAGAGGAAAACAAAAAGTAAAAAAAAGCTTGAAACAGGTTATATGAGTTCTAATAGAGGATATATTTAGATTTAAAAGAAAGTGCCTATGTAATTTTTTTGTTTTGTTTTTTGAGATGGAGTCTTGCTGTCAACAGACTGGAGTGCAGTGGTGCAATCTCAGGTCACTGCAACGTCTGCCTCCCTGGTTCAAGCAATTCTCCTGCCTCAGCCTCCCAAGTAGCTGGGACTACAGGCACATGCCACCATGCCCAACTAATTTTTGTATTTTTAGTAGAGACTGGGTTTCACCATGTTGTCCAGGATGGTCTCGATCTCTTGACCTTGTGATCCACCCGCCTTGGCCTCCCAAAGTGCTGGCATTACAGGCATGAGCCACTGCGCCCGGCCAAAATTGCCTAAGTATTAAGCCTGTCAATTGACACAGAATGCCTAACAGTTCTATGAATATTTCTCAAAAGCCAATATTGCTAAGCTATAATAAATTACATTGTCTATGATATGTTCTTACATTAGGCTAATGGCCAGGAATCAGGTATGTCTTCCCTTACTGTTTTCCTTTACGAATATGAAAAATACCACCAAATTCTTCCTTTTAAAAGGACTCAAATGGGCCAGGTGTGGTGACTCACACCTGTAGTCCCAGCACTCTGCGGGGCTGAGGCTAGAGAATCACTTGAGCTCAGGAGTTCGAGGGCAGCCTGGGCAACTGGTAAAACCTCATCTCTACAAAAAAATCCCCAAAATTAGCAGGGCATGGTGCTGTGCGCCTGTAGTCCCAGCTACTCTGGAGACTGAGGTGGGAGGACTGCTTGAGCTCAGGAGGCAGAGGCTGCAGTGAGCCACCGTACTGCAGCCTGAGCAACAGAGCAAGAACACCCCCCACTCCCCTAAAAAGGACTAAAATGAAATCAAAACTTACCAAGAGTTTATCAGCTATTCCTTCATGTTTATTTCTGCACTCTGTCTTCCCAATGCGTTGGTTCAATTCTTTCAGTTTCTTATCAAATAGTTCGTAATTTATACTATAGATCTCCAGTTGAATCAAATGTCTGACCTAGATTTTTAAAATAAAAACCAAAACACCCCACGTTTCAAATTTAGAAGCAATTTTACTTTCTACTTAAAAAAAAAAAGCCATGCTCTTTTCCAGATTTACTATAACCAATTATAGTTTATTTATTTATATTTGTATGTTTATATAACTATACCATTAAGTTTTATAAAACTTGAATATTAAACTCAGAACACACCCAATATTTAAGTATACTGGACATGTTAGAAATTAAATTTATTCTCATAATGCTAACTTTAGTTTCCTAGAGTTCCACTTGAATTCCATATTATACATTATAGAAACAATTAAAAGACTATATACCATTTATATTTTTTAATGTCTATAACTCCTAGTTAGTATTCCATATAAAGGAACTCTACTTATCTGAAAACCAGAGCCTGATGAAAATGGTTGGTCTGTAGTAGATATAGAACAAATTACACAAGTGTGAGACTGGACATTACCACTAATGAGCTACCTTTAGTCAGTCGCATTATTTTTGAGCTTCATTTTCCTTCTTGACAAATGAGTAGATAACATAACAAATGTTGAACAAGCGATACTCAAAGGATTTTTATAGGAACATAAAGTAATACGCAAAAGAGTACCATAAAATAAAAAACACTGAATTGGTATGAAAGAAATAAATATGCAAGATAATCACCACTACTTCCATAACTTTTTAGGGCGTGGCTTTCTTATTGTTAAAATTTAAATATCAATCGGCTGGTTAGCTCAGCTAGTTAGAGCATGGTGCTAAAACTGAAAGAAGGGTACAATAGCTTATGCCTGTAATCCCAACACTCTGGGAGGCCGAGGTGGGCAGATCACGAGGTCAGGAGTTGAAGACCAGCCTGACCAACAGGGTGAAACCCCGACTCTACTAAAAATACAAAAATTAGCCAGGCATGGTGGCAGGCGACTATAGTCCTAGCTACTCAGGAGGCTGAGACAGGAGAACTGCTTGAACCCAGGAGGTGGAGGTTTCAGTGAGCCGAGATCACACCACTGTACTCCAGCCTGGGTGACTGAGCGAGACTCCATCTCAGAAAAAAAAAAAAAAAAAAAAGTAGCGGGGAAGCCAAGGACAATTATGTAGTTACCAATGTTATCTGGCATCATGCATGCCGTTCTAACAAATCGTAGTAGTTATAATATGAAAAATTAACAAACTTCATTATCTTTTTTTTTTGAAAACAGACTGGCCCATTTTCAGGGAGAATAATTTCAATGCCACTGATAGGAGCAGCTCTGCTGAGCCATACATTGAAAATAACTTCAATGCCACTGATATGAGCAGCTCTGCTGAACCATACATTCAGAAACATTCACTGTAGTTTTTTACTCAGTGTGTATCCTTCTGGTAAGCAATTTTCATCACAGTGTATGTAGTCTTTGTTAATATGACCTGCTATGCTACATTTAACGTATTTAAAATATTTACATATTTTTTCCTCCAGTATCTTGCTTCATGATGCTCAAAACAGAACACATAGTTCCCATGTTAAACTCTTATATTGATATCACCTGGATGATTATATTCTTTAATTTTGATCATTCCCAAGGCTCTTCCTTCCTGTTTCCAAGCGTTCTCACTCTTCAACATTGTCTACTTGATCTCTTCTCTAATGCTTGCTTCACTAACATTTCTTCCATGGTTTCTCTACATTATTAGACATGATTGTCACTTTACTTTCATAACTTTTAAACAGGTGAGCAAATGAATGTGCTCAAAATGTATTATGTTTAAAAAAAGGCTTAGAAATACATACTATTATTATTATTATTATTTTTTTTTTGAGACAGAGTCTTACTCTGTCGCTCAGGCTGCATTGCAGTGGCGTGATCCCAGCTCACTGCAACCTCCACCCACCAGGTTCAAGTGATTCTCCTGCCTCAGCCTCCCTAGTAGCTGAGACTACAGGCATGCTCCACCATACCCAGCTAATTTTTATATTTAGCTGAGACAGAGTTTCGCCACTGTTGGCCAGGTTGGTCTTGAACTCCTGACCTCAAGTGATCCACCCGCCTTGGCCTCCCAAAGTGCTAGGATTACAGGCATGAGCCACCATGTCCGGCCAATACTATTATTTTTACCGATGACCATTACCTATTATTCGTGTGGTGTTTTATGATCACATGTTTGTTAGTTCACTGGCTGGGTTCAATATGTGAAGCTCATACCCACATGAATCTTGGAGAAACAGATATAAATGTTTTGAACGTGGAGACACTGTTTTGTACAGTGTTTCTCTAACAGTATTCCTCATCCTTGGTGAGGAACAATCACAGGGGATGGTTGTTAAAATCAAATTCCTAGGCCCCATCCTGGATCCACCAAACACAATCTTTTGGAAAGGAGCCTGGAAAGGTGTATACTAAATAGTTACTACAAATTGTTTTTATCAGGTACGTTTGAGAAAGCAGTAGCCTAAAACAACAGTCTTCAACTATGAGCTCAAGAAACCACAATTTAAACAAGTACTCCCTGGTGGTTCAGATTGGGACAGGTCCTTAAATTTGATCATTTTAGACTAAGTACCCACCATGGGGTAACTCCTGTCAGTTAGACTACACATTTGTTCTAATTTAATGGTAATGTTCCTTATACAAAAGGAAGACACAATAACCTCCATCAAATACCTCATAAATGTTTTTACCAATGGTAATGTGCCCATCAACAGGGAATCAGATTGAAGTCTTGGCTTCAAAGTGGAGATGGCAGCCAAACTGGCCTGAAGTTTGGAGAAAGTATAAACTTATCTCCAATCTGTGCCAACTTTCTGAGATAGTGGGTAGAGTGAATAACTTAAGACTGTAAAGGAAAAACCCTTCCTCTTCAGTAATTTAACTGGAATTAACCAGGCCATGCTCCTTATGAAACCTCAAAAGGCTAAGAAACAATCACTGTAGGACTCTTTCAGTAGGGGAGAACAATGTCAGAATGATGGGGAGGGCTATCTCATTGAGATTCAAACAAAGTAAACATATAGATATGGTTTAGAGAGATAACTGTTTGGACAGGAATAAGAAGTGAGGAAAAGCTAGCTATTTAGAGATGGTTATGTACACATCAGAACTTACTTCTGGCTGGGTGCGGTGGCTCACACCTGTAATCCCAGCACTTTGGGAGGCCGAGGCGGGCAGATCACTTGAGATCAGCAGTTCAAGACCAGCCTGGCCAACATGGCAAAACCTGTCTCTACTAAAAATACACACAAAAAATTAGCTGGGCGTGCTAGTGCACACCTTAGTCCCAACTACTCAGGAGGGGGAGGTAGCACTGAGCCAAGACTGTGCCACTGCACTCCAGTCTGGGTGACAAAGTGAGACTCTGCCAACAAATGAACAAACACAAACTTACTTCTCACTTCAGCTACTAATTACTGGAAACAAGACACAGCTGGAATCCCCAACCTTTTTCTTGAATAACATGGTCCTTAGGGCTAGGATCTATGCTTACCATACTTCTACCCTTTCCCTGCCAACAACAGAACACTTACATATTTTTTATTGTGTCTCCTTTGGTCTTCTTTGAAGAAAACCAAAAGGTAGACCGGGAAAAACTGCCGACTCACCCTTTAAGCTGGTTCTGCATAAGTCTTTCTCTTTATTTTCCCTTATTATTAGGTGAAGAATACACATTCATAGCATATGTAACTATGTAATTGTAATGGTCTGTTTTCAAAAGTAGTGTTTCTGTTTCTGAAACAGTTGCAGGGCAGTTTGGATGGGGACATTTTGGTCCATTACAGCTGGGAGACATTAGTCTACCACATAATGATTTATAGTGGTGGCATTCTAGTGGTAGTGAAATAGGAAAACATGGTCATCAGAACCCGTCCTGAGTATAGCCATTCTACTAGAACTGAAACACGCTACACTTCAGCTAAAAATTGATCAGACACATATTGAGACTGTAGTACAATGAGGTAAAATGAGGCCACAATGAAAGCAAGAAGTGTATTTAATGATGCTATAAAGCAAAATGTCAGATAATGCACCATATCCGTTTAAGTTTGGAAAATAGGGCAAGGAAACCTGAATGCAGAGGGACTTTGCAATGGACTTTCAGGTTGAGTCTTCTGGGTTGTGGTGAGATCTACAAACGGATATAGCTGCAGATCTAAGAAACCCATGACTAGTACAAAAGACACTGGATTGTTTAACAAAGCTGAAGGTCATGCAGTGTCTGACTTACAGACAAATCTGAGTGTAATATTGACTGAAAGCCCATTCTCTTTTTGCAACAGGACTCTACCTACACATGATCCCTAGGTTATTCTGCATGAGAACATTTTCAAGAAACCAGAGCTGTTTGGTGATGTAAATAATTCTCTCTCCCCAGTCTGTCTGATAACTTGGCTTTCACACACCAGCTGTGCATCAAGTCAAAGTTGTCTGTGTTATGTCATTGTGGAGACCAGATAATTAACTTTTACCATGTTTTACTAATCAAAAGTAAAAGTTTTATTTAAGCCCCAATATTTTACCTGTTCCAGGAATGCTGTTTGCCTTTCCAAACTTACACAAATATTTTCATTAATGTGCTCTGAAGTTTTCATGCGTTTAACATTTTCTTTGTTTTCTGAAAACATCCTCTTCTTTTGATAATGGCCTTGAGGAGATGGAAAAATTAGAAAGATATTTTAAAGAAAAAAACAAGTTCATCGTGGTGGCTCATGTCTGTAATCCCAGCACTCTGGGAGGCTAAGGAGGGATGATGGCTTAAGGCCAGGAGTTCAAAACCAGCCTGGGCAACATAGTGAAAATTCATCTCTACAGAAAATTTAAAATTAGCTGGGTATGGTGGGACATGCCTGTAGTCTCAGCTACTCAGGAGGCTCAGGTGAGAGGATTGCTTGAGCCTGGGAAGTTGAGGTGGCAGTGAGCACCTCGACCACTGCACTCCAGCCTGGGCAACACAGTGAGACCCCGTTTCAAGGAAGAAAAAAAGAGAAGGAAATAGGAATTCTCTAACTTAGAGACCCTCTGAGCAAATGGAAAAACTAAAATGTGACACTGCAGCATTTTTTAGAATGTTCAATTGAATAAAAACATACCCACAAACTAATCTTAAAAAAAAATGAGTTATCTTAGGTAGGGTTCTGGTCTCAGACACACTGTCCCTTCAATCTTACTTAATAATTCAATACAAATATACGAACAAAAACTTAACAAATTATGGCATTTAATTCTCTATTTATAGTGACTTAAGTGGTTCTACGTTATTTTATATAAAGGTACTCTTTTTTCATTTTGAGAAGGAGTCTCGCTCTTGTCGCCCACACTACAGTAAAGTGGCGCGATCTCCGCTCAATGCAACTTCCGCCCCTCCAGGTTCAAGCAATTCTCCTGTCTCAGTCTCCCGAGTAGCTGGGATAATAGGTGCCCCCCACCATGCCTGGCTAATTTTTTTCGTATTTTTAGTAGAGACGGGGTTTCGCCATGTTGGCCAGGTTGGTCTTGAACTCCTGACCTCAGATAATCCACCTGCCTTGTCCTCCCAAAGTGCTGGGATTATAGTTGCTAGGCACAGTGCGTGTTTTTTTTTTTTTTTTAAAGAGACAAGGTCTTGGATCTGTTGCCCAGGCTGGTCTGGAGAGCTTAAGCGATCCTCCTGCCTTGGCCTTCCAAAGTGCTGCAATTACAGGCATGAGCCACCGCACCCAGCCAGTTGTATTATACATATTTTAAATAGATGATACTGTTATTATTTTTAAGTAATTTTAAATTCATCTTGTTAAAAGACCATTCTGTAGTCTAGACAAGAACACAACATTTATAGCATTAAATCAGTTTTTTTCTATTTCATTAACAAAACACCCTACTTCAAATGAAATTCACTTTTGCTATTTTAATGATGTTATAACCCAAGGACTTCATTTTACTATTTGGGGTGCTTCTCTTTCTCTACACACACATATATACACGTGTGAATATATTATCTATCATCTTATACTTAGCATGTGATTTACAGGTCAATTCTACAGAAAGAAATAGGGTTGGCTGGGTGTGGTGGCTCACGCCTGTAATCCCAGCACTTTGACAGGCAAAGGCGGGTGGATCACGAGGTCAGGAGTTCGAGACCAGCATGACCAACATGGTGAAACCCCATCTCTACTAAAAATACCAAAAAAAAAAAAAAAACTTAGCCAGGCGTAGTGGTGCCCACCTGTAATCCCAGCTACTCAGGAGGCTGAGGCAGGAGAATCACTTGAACCTGGGAGGTGGGGGTTGCAGTGAGCCGAGACTGCGCCACTGCACTCCAGCCTGGGCGACAGAGCAAGACTCCATCTCAAAAAAGAAAAAAAAAAAGAAAAAAAAGAAAGAAATAGGGTTACCAACAATTTTTAAAACCCACTCTCTTTAAACTAGCCTCCTTCTTAATCTAATAAAACTTCAAAATAAGAAGAGATGTATACGAAATGAACCAAATAATGGCTATAAACCACTTTTGATATTTTGTACTTAAGGAAAAGTGATTTGATTCCTTCTTTGCAATAATTACCCTTTTAATATAGTGGATACCTGTCCCCCACCTCACCAAGAATGCTTCAGAAACAAGATATTGTTGTCATCATTTACCTTTTTCCTGTCTATATTCTACTTGTTCGTATATTTGAGACTTTAAAATACCCCAAGGAAAAGTGACTATTTTAATTTTTCTAAAAGGTGCATAAGTATATACTTACTGTTGTTATTAGTGTCAAGTGATGACTGCCATGTTGAGTCTGCACTTTCACAATTTGAAATACTGGAAGGACAGGTTCTACTACACTCATTGGTTTTCAAAATATCATCAGCACAGTGGTTAGAAGTGACTGAATTCACTAAATTAGGTGTTTTCTCAACAGGCACAAAACCTGAGTCTTCTGAACATAAAATGCTGTCACCTTGCCTTTTACCATGTGATTCTGAATTGGAGTTTGTTTCTAAATGGAAAACCATCTGGTCAGTTTTATCATCCACGGTACTGGTTACTGTAGACTCTGGCATCTGAACACCACCACTCAATACACTGGGTGGACAGCAACTGGACTTCAGACTACAAGCCCCTTCATGCTCAAAAAGGGATCTTGTTACATTTGTCTGACACTCAGAATCATTTTCAGAAGTGTTCAGTGAATCTTTTGCCTCTTCTATGAAGACTTTGCTGGGGGAATCTGTTGTTTTACTTGGCTTTTGGTCCGAACAAACAACTTGTTCCAATTTTGTTTCTGAATGAATGATTTCTTCTACTGGTTTTATGCAATTCTGAGAGAATACGTTACTTTTCTCTGATATTGAATTTTTATTAGAGTCCAATGAGGATGCACCATTTTCAGAAGGGCTACATTTGGTAGTTATGACACTAGGACTGAAACGCTGATTACCACTTGGAACATTACTCCCAATTGCTGCTGTTTTCAGTGCTTCAACATTCCTGGACTTATTCAGCATCTCTACTTGCTTCCGGCAACTTAGGGGCATTGTTTTTTTTGCTTTTAATATCTTCCGTTTAATTCTATCTGGACTTGCCATCTTTCATATCCTGGAATTTAAGACATCATATTTAAGTGCATTCCTCTAGCGAATAAAAGTTATTTACTACTGAAATAAAGTTATTTATTTAGAATATTAAAATAACATTGATACTGTCTCTCCAGATAATCACCTTAATGAAAATTATATCCATTTTCATGTCACTGAAAACAGAAATCATTTCTATTGTTTCTATAAATCAAAACTATATAAATTCAAAATCTGTATTCCTAGTAAGCCTCTACTTGATAGTTTTATCTAGCCACTTCTTGTTATATCACCTCAGTGCCATAACCATTCACTATTTACTCATCAAGGTAAGTCAGAGTTTAAATAATCTAAAGATTAAATTGTACTAATTCATAAAAACAAAAAAAAAAGTTTTGTATAAAACATTCCATTTTCTATACATAATGGCATCTGTTTAAGATTTCCTAATGTTCAAGTTTCTAAAATAAATGTGGCCGGGTGTGGTGGCTCATGCCTGTAATCCCAGCACTTTGGGAGGCCAAGGCGGAAGAATTATTTGCAGTCAGGAGTTCGAGACCAGTCTGGCCAACGTGATGAAACCCTGTCTCTACTAAAAATACAAAAATTAGCCAGGCATGGTGGCATGCACCTGTAATCCCAAGCTACTCGGGAGGCTGAGGCACAAGAATCACTTGAACCTGGGAGGTGGACGTTGCAGTGAGCCAACATCGCCCCACTATACTCCAGCCTGGGCAACAGGGTGAGATGGTCTCAAAAAAAATAAAATAAAATAAAACAAGCACTAAGATACATAACATTCCAGCTTAAATAAACAAGCCAACTAACCGGGCGCAGTGGCTCACGCCTGTAATCCTAGCACTTTGGGATGCTAAGGTAGGTGGATCACCTGAGGTCTGGAGTTCAGGCCAGCCTGGCCAACAGGGCAAAACACCATCTCTATTAAAAATACAAAACTTAGCCAGGCGTGGTGGCACATGCCTGTAATCCCACCTTCCGGGAGGCTGAGGCAAGTGAATCACTTGAACTCAGGAGGCAGAGGTTGCAGTGAGCCAAGATAGTGCCACTGTACCCCAGCCTGGGCTACAGAGCGAGACTCTGTCTTAAACAAACAAACAAACCTGATATGTATACTAAATAAATCCAGAAAAACAGAAGAACACTCTTCATTAATTAAGACCCTAATGTGCCTATATAATTATATTTTTCCTATAGGACTGTGTATTATTTGATTGTCTCTTCGTGAATACAATTCTTGTACTATTTTCCAAAGAAAATGAACAAATCAAATCTTTTCTCTAGCATGGTTTAATGATGTATTTGCTAAAACTGATAATCATGATGCATAAAACTAGCAGCTTTGCCTGAAGACACTGCTACAGTTTTGTGTCCTACAAATAAAAACATTCTTATATTATTTTAAAGGGAGAATTCAACCAAGTGTGGCACATGCCTGTGGTCCCAGCTACTGAGGAGGCTGATGCAGGAGGTTCACTTGAGCCCAGGAATTAGACACTGCCGTGATCTGTGATTGTACCACTGCACTCCAGCATGGGTGACAGAGCGAGACCTTGTCTCAAAGAAAGAAAAAGAAAAAAAAAAAAAGCAGGATTCCTATAAAAAAAAGAAAATAAAAATATGGTGAATTTATAATTGAATGTGCTATGTTGTTATTTCTGACAGGAGAAAAGTGCTGTTTTGACTGGAAATTGATGAGAACGAAATCCTATACTTAAAATTTTAAACATCAGATAATTGGGAATTTTTTCCTGATTACCTCTGGTTTCATAAATTTCAAACTTTGGCTTCTCTAATACTCACATATTACAGGTGCCAGGCACCAGAGACCACATTCCCAACACAATCAGGCTGACAGGCTATAATTACCTACATCCAGAAATGACTCTGAATCACAAACACATCCCACTAAACACAAACAAAGCCACCAATCACAAAATGCCTGAAACCACTCTACTGCCAGCTGACACAAAGAAGAAATCAAGGTGAAGAGAGACAGGGGTCTTAAATGACTATACTTAAAATATCTTACTATTGTAAATCTGATGAAAACGTCCAACCACGCGAACATATTGTTACTATGGCCCTTCTAAGGGCCTTTGGAAAAGGCCCAAACTAGTAAAAAGTGCTGGAATTTAAGCTCTAGAGTAAAAAAGTACCTCTACATTTGATGCATACAAAAGACTTGTAATATGTGTTAATTACAAAGTATAATAAAGTGAACATCTTTGAAACACCCACAACAAATAAGTAGAATACTATCAGTAACCTGCATTTACTCATGTTTCTCCAAACAATGCCCCTTGCACCTCTTCTCCATCCTGATGAAGTTTCCTAAACTTAGTTTATAATTCTATTACTTTTTCTACAGTTTCATCATAAATGTCATATGTAAACAAATATACTGTTTAATTTTGTTGAGCAAATTATAGCTAATACTTGTTTTTTCAGTTATATGTATAAAATTCATCCATGTGCTTCTGTATAGCAATAATTCATGTTCTTCTTTGCACTGTAATAATTCATTGGGCAGATATTCCAAAATTTGTTTATCTGATCATTTGTGAAAGATCTTTGGGTCACCTCCAGTTGCTTTTTTTTTTTTTTTGAGACAGGGTTTTGCTGCTGTGTTACCCAGGCTGGAGTGCAGCATGGCTCACGGCAGCTTCAACCTCCCAGGCTCAAGCTATCCTCCCACCTCAGCCTCCTAAGAGGCTGGGATTACAGGCATGCACCACCACACTTGGCTAATTTGTAAAAAAAATTTTGTGGATATTGGGTCTTACTATGTTGCCCAGGCTAGTCTGAAACTCCTGGACTCAAGTGATCCTCATGCCTCAGCCTCCCAAAGTGCTGGGATTACATCTCCAGTTCTTGTTGATGTTCTGACACAACAACATTATTCTGAACACTTCTGTCTCAAGGTGCTTATGTGTAAGCATTTCCTGGGTGAATTTCTGGATACTAATAAGGTATCTATGTTCAACTTTTCAAGAAAGCCAAATTATTTCCTGGAGCAGTTCTACCAGTTTGCATCTATACAGTCAATATATAAGAGTTACCACTGAGCCACATCCTCTTGAACCCTTGGTACTGCCAGACTTGATTTTAGTCAATCTACTTGGATAAAGAATTAGCTCTCATTGTCTTAATTTGCCTTTCCCTAATTACTGTCATCTTTTCCTATGTTTATTAGCTATGTTTACTTGTCTGTAAAAATTCCTGGTTATTTCCTGCTCATGACTTCTTGGGGTGTTTTTCCTCTCTCATTTTTAAAGCATACTTAACATATTATAAACCATATTCCAGCCAGGTGTGGTGGCTCACGCCTGTAATCCCAGCACTTTGGGAGGCTGACGTGAATGGATCACCTGAGGCGAGTTCGAGACCACCCTGGCCAACAGGGTGAAACCCTGTCTCTACTAAAAACTACAAAAATTTGCTGGGCGTGGTGGCACACGCCTGTATTCCCAGCTACTTGGAAGGATGAGGCAAGAGAACCACTTGAACCCAGGAGGTGGAGGTTGTAGTGAGCTGAGATCACATCATTGTACTTTAGCCAGGGCAACAGAGTTGGACGTTGTCTTAAAAAAACAAAAACCAAAAACAAAAACATATTCCTTCGTCAATCCTTTGTTATATGAGTTACAGGTGTCTTATCAGGCTCTTCCTAATTTTCATATAGTCAAATTAAATATTTTTTTTTCTTTTATGGTTAAAGTTTCATCTCTCTTCCTTGTGACATCCTTCTCTACCCCATGATGTTGTGTGAAATAGTGAAGCCTACTGGTGGTAAAGAAGCCTTTCACTGATGTAAGTCATTTAAGGACATGGTGCTATACCACAGCTGTGCAATTATTACAATATACAGTAGGACTGCAGAGTGCCAGCTCAGAGTACATTATTGTTAAACTTCATAAAAAACATGAACTAAATGGTCATTAACATTACATACTTCGTAACTGGTTAAACTTACGGCTCTGAGGAGAGGTATTTCACCTGGAAAACGTCTGCATGAGAATGCTTAGGGGAGACAAGCAAAACTGCCAATAAAAGGTGCAAGTAAGTTAAATATTTCTAACTATATAGTTTGCCTATCATTGAAACTGTTTAGTGAAGTTGAATTCATTGCTGAGAATAAAAAATAACCGCCCAAACTAATTGGGGATCCCTACCATCACCAGAACTCCTCTCTTTAGCCAACTTGAATTCTTTGCTGTCACATAAAGCAAAACTCACAGATCTTTGAGATGGAAACACTGTCCTATAAACACACTGCAAAAGATGAATTATATTTTCTCAAGTTTTAATTATATTTTCTCAAGTCTTTTACAATTTAAGTCCTTAATCCATCTAGAATTTATTTTAGCACATAGAGGAAAGGACTTATTTTCATTTTTCCCTCAGATGTACAATTGCTTGGCTGTATCCTCACTGTTAACTTCATTTTAAAATCATAAAATAATCTAATCTGTACTTTTCATCTGTTTTATGATGATGTAAATTCTACTGAATATGATGTTGACCATCCTTTACCTTTAACTTTTTTTTTTTTTTTGAGACGGAGTTTCACTCTTGTTGCCTAGGCTGGAGTGCAATGGTGCGATCTCGGCTCATCACATCCTCTGCCTCCAGGGTTCAAGTGATTCTCCTGCCTCTCGAGTAGCTGGGATTACAGGCGTGTGGCACCACGCCTGGCTAGTTTTGTATTTTTAATACAGATGGGGTTCCTCAATGCTGGTCAGGCTGGTCTCAAACTCCCGATCTCAGGTGATTTGCCCACTTTAGCCTCCCAAAGTGCTGGGATTACAGATGTGAGCCACCACACCCGGCCTACCTTTAACTTTTTTTTATCAATTTGTTTCTTGTAATACCCAAAAATTTTCACCTAATGCCTTTCAACAGAATTTAATCCATTTACATTAGTTATACATGACATATTAAAACCTTAATTTACATTATTGTTTCTACATTATTTAATATTAAGGTGTCTTTTTTTTTTTTTTTTTTTTAAAGATCTGACTCTGCTTCACAATTGCATGGAACTGACTACCTTTAAAGATTTCTGGCTAGGCACAGTGGCTCACGCCTGTAATCCCAGCAGTTTGGGAGGCCGAGGCGGGTGGATCACTTGAGGTCAGGAGTTCAAGACCAGCCTGGCCAACATGGTGAAATCTCGTCTCTACTAAAAATACCAAAAAAAAAAAAAAAAAAAAAAATTAGCCGGGCATGGTGATAGGCGCCTGTAATCCCAGCTACTCAGGAGGCTGAGGTGGGATAATCACTTGAACCCGGGAGGCAGAGGTTGCAGTGAGCCAAGACTGAGCCATTGCACGCTAGCCTGGAACACAGGAGCGAAACAGTCGCAAAAAAAAAAAAGAAAAAAAAATTGATATAAACATTCATGTACAAGTTTTTATGTGGACATAATGTTTTCATGTTTCTTTGTTCTATACACCTAGCTGCAGAATTATTTGGTCATGTGGTAACTCTAGATTTAACCTTCTGAGAAACTACCAAGACTGTTTTCCAAAATGTCTGGAACAACTTACACTCACACCAGCAGTGAATGAGAGTTCCAATTTTAACACCCTTTTCACCAACACTTTTTATCTGTTTGTCTTAGTATAGTTATCCTGTTGCAACTGATGTGGTGCCTTATTGCTATTTTGATTTGCATTTACCTGATGGCTAATGATGTTGAGCATCTTTTCATGTACTTCTTGGAGGCTTGTGCATCTTCTTTAGATAAATGTCTATGCAGATTCTTTGAGAATTTAAAAACTGTGTTATTTGCCTTTTTATTACTGGCTTGTAAGAGTTCCTTATATATTTTAGATTAAGTCCCTTATAAGATATAATTTATAAACTTTCCCTCATATTCTATGGATTATCTTTCCCATTCCTTGATGGCATGCTTTGAAAACAGTGTAAAATTTTCATAAAGCATAATTTCTAAAGATTTGAAAACACATTTACATGTGTTTTTAGCAAAGATATCACAGCCTAATCCAAGGTCCTAAGAATTTTGAAGTTTTGTAAGTGCTTATATTTAGGTTTTTGATCCATTTTCGTTAAGTTTTGCATATGGTGAGAGATAGGGGTCTGTTGGAAACAGGCCCCCAAATCTGGCCATAAACAGGCCCCAAAACTGGACATAAACAAAATCTCTGCAGCACTGTGACATGATTGTGATGGCTATGACGCCCACACTGAACGTTGTTGGTTTACCAGAATAAGGGCAAGGAACACCTGGCCCATCCAGGGCGGAAAATCCCTTAAGGTGTTCCAGAACCGTGAACAACAGCATGAGCCATCTGTGCCTTAAAGACATGTTCCTGCTGCAGATAACTAGCCAGAGCCCACCCCTTTGTTTCCCGTTTTAGTTAAATTATAATCTATAGAAACAATGCTTATCACTGGCTTGCTGTAAATAAATATGTGGATAAAACTGTGTTTGTGGCACTCAGCTAGGAAGGCTGTCAGCCCCAATTCCCACTCTGCACTCTATATTTCTATGTGTCTTTAATTCCTTTAGTGTCGCTGGGTTAGGGTCTCCATGACTGAGCTGGTCTCAGCAAGTGGTGCCCATATGTGGG